GCGTTTGGATTAAATTACACGAATTTAAATACTCACTGAGTATGATATTCTCCAGGTTTTATTTGTTCCTGAGAGAAATAAAAATAAATACAAATTGTTTCCTCTGGATACAGATCATACAGGAAGAAGCAAAAGTCTAATTTTTCTGGGCACTTAATCTCTCAATCCTAGCATGAAATTGTCATCCACGGATGAACAAATGCTATCAGAGGTTCTGTGCAAGCTGTTATTCCCTTGAACAAGTGATGTGCCCATTGATTGTCGTTGTTAGTTGTTAGATGCGGCAAAGGAGGGCTCTAATGATCGCCTGCGAGTTTCTTACGGTACTGCACGTACTGAAAACCGGATACACAGCTTCCAGTGTCATCTTTCTATCTTTCATGAATATTAAATTGCAGCATTTCATCAAAACTTCGTGTTTTCTAATCTTTCTTTCAGCCGAGATCAACTGAAAGGAAGATGCTTACTCATCTCCCTTAACGTTTTACCTCCCCAACGCAGCGAACGTTTTGTAACCTAAACCCCATAGCTGTGTGGCAGAGAAAGGCAGGAAAACAAGACACACGTGTCTAATGACTGAGATAAAATTTGGAATAAAATTTGAAAGAAAATTTAGAATAAAGTAAAATATTTGACACCACTATTTCCTATTTAAAAAGACAGGAAAACAAGACACACGTGTTTAATGACTGAGATAAAATTTGGAATAAAATTTGGAATAAAATTTGAAAGAAAATTTGGAAGAAAATTTAGAATAAAGTAAAATATTTGACACCACTATTTCCTATTAAAAAGGACAGGAAAACAAGACACATGTGTCTAATGACTGAGATCAAATTTGCAATAAAATTTGGGATAAAATTTAAAAGAAAATTTGGAAGAAAGTAAAATATTTGTCACCACTATTTCCTATTTAAAGAGGCAGGAAAACAAGACACGTGTCTAATGACTGAGATGAAATTTGGAATAAAATTTGAAAGAAAATTTAGAATAAAGTAAAATATTTGTCACCACTATTTCCTATTAAAAAAGACAGGAAAACAAGACACACGTGTCTAATGACTGAGATCAAATTTGGAATAAAATTTGGGATAAAATTTGAAAGAAAATTTAGAATAAAATAAAATATTTGTCGCCACTATTTCCTATTTTCTCTTACTAACTATAGAATAGCTGTAAATATAAGAAATTAAAAAAAAAGATATACCTATATTACTTAACCCCTTGCACTTAATTATGAAAAAGTATGCATTGAAGTAATATTTAACCCTTTACATTCGACGATTTTTGGCTAGAGAAGAGTAGAAATTCAAAGATTCTCTACTAAAAAAACTGACAATACTTTTTTGAGCAATAAACAAAGAATTGTATAATAATAGAATTATAGAATTATTTGATTTCGTTATCTCGTACACTGTTACATTGCATTAAATTTGATATATTAATTAATAATTTTCCACATTTTATGAAATGGTAACTGAAGCTCACCTCTCGAGTGCAAAGGGTTAAGTATAATTCGTAGTTTTCATGTTGGCAAGAAATATGCATAACAATTTCACGTTGACTTACAATTACAGAAAAATGAACTATATCTAGATGTTCCATTAAAATAATTGGAATATTCAGAAGAAAGTGATTACCTCCATTTTCTGAATTTTTAAACATTTCTTTTGTCAAGATACTTGATGCTTATCTTTTTATATTTCAGATAAATTTATAGTTTTTGTTTCGCAGAATTAAATAATTTGGCAAATGAGTGACTTTTTAATGAGGAATTAAATAACTATGAATTTAGAGGCACCTTGAATAACTTTCTCAGATAAAGTTATGGTGAAAATTGTTTTATTGTAAAAATATTCGCCCAGAAGTACGTTGTTTGCAATTAATTCCAACAACGATTAACAAAGTTATGAAACATTGCATGAGAACCACACAGGAAACATCAACTCACACCATAATGGTTTCAGATATTAACCCCAGAACACCTAAGCCTTCAGCCATTACGTGAGAGCCTAATGGGGGTTCTGTGAACTCACACTTCTTACATTTACCTTGAAAACAGTTCTTAGAAAATTTTTCTGTTTATATCTATTTATGAAACGAAATGATACTGTAATCTACCAATCGCGAAAATCATTTAATTTGTCTAATAAAAAATATACAGGATAAAACTTTCACATATATAATTTTTACATTTATAACAAATTTGATTTCGTTTAGAGAAATTGTTACCTTCCATTTTCTTCCTATTTTTTAATCTTCGTCCCTTATAATAAAAAATAAAAATAAATAAAATTAAAAAGAATTAATTTAAATAATAAAAAGTATTTATTATTTATAATATTAAATAGTAAATAATCAATTTTTCAGAATCCTTCGACCCGAAATTTTAGTTTAAGCTCATTTGGATCGAGGGTAATAAATACTCGATTAATTAACTAATCAAAATTATCCTGTAATTTTTCATTATCAATATTAATGCCGTAAATAATAAATTACCGTAAATAAATTTTTCAGAATCCTTTGCCTCGAAATTTTAATTTAAAATCATTTGGCTTAGTTCGACAAACTTGGGAGTTCTGAAGTTAACAAAAGCGAGATAAATTGCATAAAAATTCCCTTACCTGTTTGCCAGCGCGAGGTAACGTTTCCACATTGGTACCGCCAACGACAGGCGCTTTTTCCGGACCTCCATTCTGCTGGCTGGCATTTATGTTGGCATTAACATTCGCGTGTACATTGGCGTTAACATTGTTCACGTTGTCGGTAAGGTTCGTATTCGTGTTTCCTACGCCGGCATCCCCACCAGTGCCAGTTCCACCCCCGCACTTTCCTTCCTCGCCCGTCATCACTTCAGCCTCACCCTCCGCCGGCCAGTTCACCCCTGTCTCACCCTTCGCGTTCCGCGCCTCGAGCCTTCCTTCCGTTCACTGATTACCAATGTCGGTCCGCTGGCCAGAATCCGGATATCTGCTCAAACGAGACGACGAATCGTCGATCAGGAGAAACGGGTTAATCTACAGACTACCGAACCGATTGGCTAATTCTTTCCAGTCTTATTGTCCCTTTCTCTTTCCGCCCTGTCACCACTACCATCCCACCATATGTATAACATATCGATTCCACTGATAACAACCAATAGAAAAAGTCTCACACTATCGATAATCGATTTTGGTTGAAATTATATTTTAAAAGATGATCCTACGCCAATGGAATTCACGAAATGGAAATATATTAAAATAATTTAACAAACGGATTAATCAATTCGATAACGTCCGAGAAGTTCGATAATTTGAAAATAATTATTCGTAAACGAATTAAATGGCTACGGTGTGAACGGACATTATTTGACATGGAAGAAAAACAACGAAGAAAAACGGCACCGACAATGGCGACTGTATTATATACGTATGCTCAGCTCGGTAAATATTGAGTGACGTCGGAGAATGATTAGAAAAAGATCGATCTACAATCTGACCTGATTAGCACGTCGCGGTCAAACATGCCCTTTCTTTCGCTGACACGCTACCAAGATTCATTAGAAAATGTAGAATTATTTTCGTTCACTGGCCGCCTCTATTTTTAGGATTCTGAACGCGCGATACGGGTGGTATAACGGTATATGACGAGTTAGCTGAAGCACGTTGAAGGTAGACTTCACAAGACACATGCCGATCGAGAACTAATCAATTAATGCAACGAACATTCGTCGGAGATTAAATAACCGGAACTAAATTGCCATTAGAAATCGACGTCATGTTTCCATCCTCGTTTTAACTACATCACGAATTAAACCCGCTTTCGATCGTAGTTTAATTTTAGCCAATCTCACACAGGCCGGTTTCCACTGACGTTACCGAACCAACGACCAAGCAGCCGGTGTAGTACCGATGTAGACCGATCCACTCGCGGCGGACAGACTATAGGAAACGCTACCGTTCATCGGGAGAAACTGGGCAAAATAGTTTCCGGTAGCTGCGAGGGACTCGAGTAATCATACATGTAGCTCTATCGTCAGTAGTGGAACCAGGGAAAATCGATTCGGCCGTGCCCGTTTGAGCACTGCGCGCCTCTCAAGTGTACAAACCACCGCGATAAAAGCAGTCAAGTCGCGCGGGATGATCATTTTGACTTTCGAAATACGTAAGTAACATTTCACACATCGACACATTTCGGCAATTGTCCCACGAACAAATTTTTTCCAGGGAAACCGCAACGCTAAGCATCGAAATAAAAGTGATAATAAAATGACGAAATACTATTTTCCTATTCTTTTTCTGTTCCCGTTGTGTAGCACAAGGAAAAGTTGAAGAGATGAAATCCGGAAGCCTTCGTTAAAACGACTAAGGGCGAGAGATAAGGAAAAAGTTGGCACACGATGAATACGCGAGACGTATACAATATTTCTGAAAGAACATAAAACAATAAGAAAAATATACTCTATTGTTATTCTAGATTGTTACATTACACGTAACCTTTTATGTAAACAGAACAACAGATCGAGGTAAATGATTAAAAACGTGTGCTAAAAATGGGCTTTCACTGAGAGGTCGTATCTAAAAACATATAGGTTAAAAGACTGAAATAAGTGGTTAGATTTTACAAATCACGATCTATAACTGATCCGAAATGGACGCTCCATGTTTCTTTAAAGCGGAAATTTCTGCTTTTGGGCAATTACCCGAGTCATTATATACACATATATCGACTATACCGACCTTACTTGCTTATTCCCTAAAAAGTTCCACGTTACAATAAATTTGACGACTAATACCTTGAAACATTTCATCCGCTTCATTTTTTTTTTTCTACATTTATGACTGGATATGATGTGTATAGTCTACTAAAGCAAAGCAACGATCCCATCTAATCAAATCGAATCCTGATGCACCGAAAAATGACGCGACTAACCAGAGCTACAGTGTTGTGACGATACTTAGGTTTCCCGAATACCAACCACAGGATACCGAGGCACTTTTTCCATTAAATGTTTCTTCACTGTCAAATCACACGACGTTCCATCATTCTTTACTTTTGTCGTTGCGCGAACCGAACCATATATATATGTATATGTATATATATATATATATATATAAATATATATATATACTACTCGAAAAGATTCCGTCTGTTTAAGAAAGTTCCGAGCGTAACGCGACTACCCTCCTGGAAACTCCGTACGGCTTTGATCGGTTTTATAACTTCGATGGCGACGGGTACGCTCGAAGCGACGCCTGGTGATCATGTTCCAGATACGCTGGCTACCCCCTCTTTCCAATTGAACTCCCTGATTACCGGCGCTGTGACTACGTAGGGCACAGAAGAAATTTGATCTTTTGTCAATAGAATATCGAAATATAAGTATTTTAAATTACATTATATGAAACAACCAAACCTACTTGTATAATGAATACAATGCTTATAATTAAATCTTTTTTGTATAGTATCATAAATATTAACATGAATAAAATATTGTACCTTATTATTTCAAACTGATCATAAACTTTTATATCGTTAATGTAATACAATTTTCATTATTAAATTTAGTTACTATAATTTTTTAATTTTGCCCGCTTAGTTATATTGTAGAATATTTTTATTAAAAATATTACTTAATAAATATTATTCCTTGATAGACTTATCATAAATCAATAATTTGAAGGTAAAAGATATATTTTTAACCATTAATAAAAATTCTTTCATCTTCCTCGATTGTTTTATTTAAAAATCGATATTAATACTGTTATAACTACAGTAGCATTCATTTATCAATACAACCGTTTTTATTATCAAAATTTCAATATTCGATTTATGATTCATAAAATTACAAAATAAATTCTTACTTAAATTAGAATTGTTTGTAATTTATATTTTTCACTTTCAACCTTTAATATAAATACAAGTCAACTTCTCATACATAAAAATACATAAATAGCAACAAGATACTTCTTAATCAAAAATCATGTCTTCGATATGAATAGCATAAACACAACAAATGATTCATAAATTTTCATGTCCTATAATACAACATTGAAAATTTTATTTAATTTCAATCTTATTAATATTAATTTGTCTTGTAAATTATGTAATAAATATTCGAGACATCTAAAAATGTAATCATACCATGAAAGTAGTTTTATGTAATTTGTTTAAATTTATTATATTGATATTTAAGAAACTAAAATATTTATATATTTTTAAATAATATACTAAACAATTATTATTATTATTATTATTATTATTAT